CAGGATTACACGAGCGGATTTCTGGCGCTATGCGAGCAGGTGGGCTACATGCATGAGAGCGAACGCATCGACCGCTACATCGGCGGCCTGAAGCAGGACATCGCTCAGGAAATCCAGCTTCGCGGCGTCACTGAGTTTCAGGAAATTCTCGCTATGGCGGAGAAGCTCGACTTCTTTCGCCGACCGAGACCGGGGTCCTACGGAAACAACACCTGGGGACATCGGCCTCGTGGGACGAACGAGAGCGCCACGATACGCGCCGTCACCGCAAATGCCGCTGCCGCACCGTTCAAAGGGCGCTGCTTTGCGTGCAATCGGCCGGGACATCGCAAGAGCGAATGCCCGGAAAACGCTAAGGGAAAGGGGGAAGCTGAGCAGCAGACACAGACCAAGCAGCAGGGAAACGCTGGAAGTCAGTAGCAGACGGGCCCTCTACTGACAGGTCACGCCGCTCGCCCGACCCAACCGACCCTCACCGAGTGATTGTGCCGGTTCACGCAATCGACCACACCCGGCCGAATAAGGAGGGTACCACGGTAGATAGCCCTATACTGCTCAGTGGGAAAATTGGGACGGACTTAGTTAAAATCTTCGTAGATGGGGGAGCCAGCCACAGCCTCATTAACACTGCTACAGCACGAAAATTGCGACTGCCACTGGACCGATGCTTACCTGAGATCGACGCACGACTGGTAGACGGCACGCCGCTGGCAATACGGGAACGCGTAGACCGAGTTCGGATTCGATGCGGGGGTAACTTCACGTTTAGTCAGGAAATGCTCGCAACGACCCTCGACGGAACCGACATTTTACTCGGGCGTGATTGGCTGCGACGACACAACCCGCGAATTGACTGGACGACGGGTGACTGCACCGTGCGAGTGAACGGTAACAGCATCGCCTTACCTCGCTGGGGCTCGCCTGAGTCTTCGTCGGTGCGTGTCAACGCGATCACGATGAAACGCGCTGTTGCGGCCGGAGCCGACGTGTACGCGGTTGACATTCGGGAAGCCGAGGCAGCAGACAAGGGAGGCGATTTACAGAAACTGCTGACCGACGTACCGAGTGACCTGGCGGCACTGTTACAACAGTACAGTGACATTTTCCCGGATGACCTGCCGACGGGACTGCCACCTCAGCGACCGCACGATCACAGGATAGAACTGGAACCGGGGGCACAGCCAACAGTACAGCGACAGTTCCGACTGACCCAACCCGAATTAGACGAACTAAGGAAGCAGCTCGATTACCTGCTAGAAAAGGAATTCATTCGCCCTAGTTCGTCGCCTTTCGCCGCACCAATACTGTTCACACCGAAAAAGGACGGGGGTTTTCGCATGTGCATCGACTACAGGGCACTGAACAGGGTTACCATCAAATCCCGTTACCCCATCCCACGAGCCGACGAACTGATCGACCAACTGCGCACAGCCCGGGTTTTCTCGAAAATCGACCTCCGGGGAGGATACCACCAAATCCGCGTCAACCCACCCGACTGCCCTAAAACCGCATTCCGAACACGCTACGGATCCTTCGAATACACCGTCATGCCATTCGGACTGACCAACGCCCCCGCCACTTTCCAAATGACCATGAACGAAGCATTCCGCCCGCTTTTAGATAAGTGCGTCATCGTTTATCTGGACGACATACTGATTTACAGCCCTGACAGAGCACAGCACTTACAAGACATCGAAGCAGTTTTTAAAATCCTGAGTGAGAACCGCCTACTGACCAAAGCATCTAAGTGTGAGTTTTTACAGGACCGCCTGGAGTTTTTGGGACATGTTATTTCAGCTGCAGGAGTGGAAATAGACCCGAAGAAAATTGCGACGATTCAGGCTTGGCACGCGCCGACCAACTTGACCGAGTTGCAGAGTTTCCTGGGGTTCGTCAACTACGTGCGCCGGTTCGTCCCCGACATGGCGAAACTGACTGCCCCGTTGACTGACCTGCTGAGGAAGGGGGTTGAGTACACGTGGGGGGAGAAAGAGCAAGCTGCCTTCTCGGCCCTCAAAAATATTTTGTGCTCCCCGCCCGTCCTTCACATTGCAGATCCCCACCGTCCGTTCGAGCTCGTCACCGACGCAAGTGACATCGCTGTGGGAGCAGTACTGTTGCAGGATTTCGGGAATGGCCTCCAGCCAATCGCGTACGAGTCCCGCAAGTTACACCCGCCCGAACGTAACTACCCGATACACGACCGCGAGATGCTAGCGATCGTGCACGCGTTCAAAGTTTGGCGATGTTACCTGACTGGTGCCGACGTGACAGTACGGACAGACCACCGCTCGCTACAGTACCTTCGCGCCCAACCGAATCTCAACCCACGACAGATTCGCTGGTTGGACTATCTCGAGTCCAATTTTCACTACACCGTCACGTACAAAAAAGGAGCATCCAACATCGCCGACGCTCTCACCCGCCCCACCGCCCAACTCCACGCCATCCTACTCGCCCAGACCAACCCGCTTTTAACTGGCCTATTCACCCACGGATACCGCACCGACCCATTTTTCACGACCGGAAATTCACAGCAACTGGCAGAAGCAAAAGGAGTTTATTACGTAAAAACAGGCACCAACCGCATTTGGGTACCCGCGTACTCACTACTGAGGGAGCTGCTGCTGCAGGAGGCACACGACGGGATTACCTCGGGACATTTCGGGGTAGAAAAAACACGACAGCAACTGCAGCGGTACTATTACTGGCCGGAGCTGTTGACCGACGTACAGCAGCACGTGGGCTCGTGCCCGACGTGTCAGGTGATGAAGAGTTCAAGGAAGCGGAAGGCGGGTCAATTGCAGCCGATCCCACCGCCCGAACGCGCCTGGCAGCAAGTAACCATGGACTTCGTCACAGGGTTACCTTCGAACCCTGGGGGTAACGACGCGGTGATGGTCGTCGTGGATAGGTTGACGAAGATGGCACACTTCGCTGCGTGCAAAAAGTCGATCTCAGCCGAAGAGACCGCTCGCCTGTTCATCGCAGCCGTTGTTCGCCTGCACGGGATACCAGCAGCAATTATCAGCGACAGGGACACGAAGTTTACCAGCAACTTCTGGAAGAACCTCTGGGAGCAGTTCGGGACCAGGCTACAGTTCAGTTCGTCGTACCACCCCGAGACCGACGGCCAAACGGAGCGGACGAATCAGACGATGGAGCAGTTGATTCGTGCCACGTGCGACGACCCCACGACCTGGGAGCAGCAGCTGCCGCTGATCGAGTTCGCGTACAACAACGCCACATCAACCACGACGCAGCAGTCCCCGTTCTACCTGAACTATGGGCAGAACCCCACAGTGCCCATGACGCCGAGTCCGGACAACCCCACGCCACGCGCACAACAATTCGCCGAAATCCTGCAAGCTGCCCGCGCCAGAGCCGCCGAAGCAATAAAAAAGGCCAACGTCATCGCTAAGCGCAACGCTGATCGCCACCGCCGCCCCGTCACGTATCAATCTGGAGATTACGTGCTACTCGACACGCAAAATCTGCGACTGCCCGACGTACCAAAATTACGACCGCGCTACTGTGGACCATTCCAAATCAGTCACATGATCACACCCGTCACCGCGCACCTACTGTTGCCAATTGACTGGTACATCAGCCCTTCGTTCCACGTCAGCCTACTTCGCCCATACATCCCGACCACGAGTCAACTGCCGCGTCACCGGCCACAATCAATGACTCGCCCTGCATCAGAGCCGATCATCGAGCCCGAGAAATTTTTGAGCCATCGGATCCGCCACCCCACGGGAATCAGGAGGATTGAATTCCTCGTTCGCTGGAAAGACCGCACGCCAACTGAAGATAGCTGGGTACCCCTGAGCAACATCGAAAATCACCCTGCCCTGCAAGTGTACTTGAGAAGCCGGGGATTCCGGGATATACACGCACTCGCGTAGCGGAGGGGGCTTCTTAAGGGGGGGGGGTAGTGTAAGGAATTTTCTCAGGCATTCCTTACGGAGCCGACTACATCGCGTACAGCAACAGCCGACTGTTCGCCCGTTACTGCTAACGGAACTTCGCCGACTTCGCGCGCACTGTTTTGCCAAACCTCGCACTGCTGGCATGGCCGTATCGGCCTACGCTTCGGGACTAGCCCGAGCCTCGCTCCAGCGTAGCACTAGCAAGTTCGCACGCACCGCGTTACCGTTTTGCATGTTTCGCGTATAAATGCTCGCTCATGCCTTCGCTCACATTTTGTACTCGTTTGACACCTTAGTGCAATTCTCGCTACCTCGATTCATTGCACCCGTAACAACACAGCACAGAAACCCAACTGCGCATTCCTACTTGTTACGAACAGGCAAATCGTACCAGACGACAGGTTTACGACTCTCTACGACAGAATTCCGTATTCCGTGACGCGATTTCACAACTTGGAACTTTGGTGTGTGCGACGGCTGAAGCTGAATTTTTTCACTTGTTACGAGGCCTGGAATGCGTCCTTGTCGGAGCTCCCATTGTCGGAACTTCTCCAACCAAACCAACCTATTTGCTTCTGTCCCTGCCTTCGCTTCGTTTTGTGTGCCTGCTCTGTGTACGACTGATGAAGTTTCTGTCTTTGCGAAGCTGGCGTAGCGGTCACAGGGTGTTGATGCGAACGTTTGTATCGGACAAGCCAAGCTTTGACTAGAATCACGTCACGACTGTCGTCGTGCTCCTAGAAGCCGTCGGTTAGCGCAGTTTTGGACCGCGACGTTGCCGAGTCTGCTCGACAGAATGATATAATTATGTAATGGCGGATATCCAGAAAAACTCTGATGCTCTGAACGAGTAAAAGCCGCCCTTTCAGCGCTTTCCAGCAAAGCATGTAACGCGCTATTTTTTTCGCAATCACAATGGCACTTAGCGTGACAGATTGGGAGAAAGGATTCACGGAATCGATACAAATTAAGTCAAGGCCGGTAAAGGTCTCCGCTGGTACCATTATCCGTGACGGCCGGCTTTAACGCCTGGCAATTCTTACGATAGTTTCCGGCTAGCCGTCCGCGATGCCTCGCATCCTGCATCTGCCGTTGCTCCGCAGCAGCAGCAAGGAGGAGCGCGGCGCTCCGCTAGAACGCCCAAAGACCGCCGCGGTCCTTCCTTCCGCCATCCCCGCGTGTTCTTCCGTCGGCCCCGCGCCGAGTCACTCGTCCCTCCTCGAGCGCAAGACGTCGCTCCCCTCATTCCTCCCGCGCAAGTCTTCTGTGGAACAGGCGCGCAAATCCCCCTCGGAACAGCGCCCCGCAGAGCAGCGCCCGCTCCGCGAGGGTCCCCCGGCGCTGCGTCCCAAGTCCCCGCATCACCTGGAGTGGGTGCGCCAACTGTCGCTCTGGCAGGGCGCGCAGGCGCAGCAGGGGGAAGCGCAAGCACAAGCGCACGGCGACGCGCAAGGATGGCCCGCGGCGCAGGAGGCGGAAGTTCCTCGGAACGGACAGTTGAAGGCGTCGCAGGGGAAGGCACGCGGCGAAGCGCAGGGATCGGTGCAAGATGCACGGAAAGGGGGAGCGCGCAAGGACGATACGCGGAAGGGGCACGTGTCTCGGCGGAGGCAGTTTGTGCAGCGGATAACGAGCCGGAGCGCGGATGCTAACTGTCTCCCTGAGGCGCCAATTCAAGACGTGTGGGAGGCGGCGGAAGCAGGAAGACTAGCTAAGTGGGTGGATAAGATGGACAGTGGCGATGGTGAGGGGATAGAATTGGACGGTCGGGATGCGCTGCAGCAGAATGGGTTTGGTGCGGGGGCGGCGGGGCAGTCGCATCAGGCGCATCAGTCTGCTGGTACTGTCCCCGATAGTGGCGTCTCCGTTAGTAGCTCAGGATCGACAACCAACTACGACGTTACGGATACCGCCGTCAGTGCGACGCCTGAGAGCCGAATTACTGAGACAAGCGAATATGCTTCAAACGGATCTGCTACAAACGCGGTCGCTCGGGGAGCGTGCGGCGGCGGGGCCGCCGCTGGCGTTGCGGCGGTTGTAGTACCCAGGAGTGACAGCGCGGCCGCCGCTGTAGTAGCTAACGACGCTACAGCTGCGGCGGCTGTAGCGCGGAGTTCTAGCAGCAGCGCGCCGCGCTACAGCCGGTCGGGGGGCCATCGGCGGAGGTTCGTGCGCGCGGCTACCGCCAGCAGCGCGTCTATGGAGCTGCGCGGATGGGACAGGGGGAGCGGGGAGGGGGACGGGGGAGGGGAATGGGAAGGGGAAGGGGAAGGGGAAGGGGAAGCGGAAGCAACGGGGCGATTAGAGGAGGGGAGGGAGAGGGGAGCAGAGGGGGAAGCAGAGGGGGAAATGGCAACAGTCAAGGCTGCGTTTCAGGCTTGGAGGTCCCAAACCTTGTCCGGACGAGTTGTGCTTTCCTCCCCGAGCCCACCTGGTAGCTTCGACAGCACGTTTGGCAGCACCTTTTCCCGAACCGAATCTTATGGCAGCGACTGTAGCAGTGTGACTGTAGGGGGAGGAGGAGGGAGAGGAGGGAGAGGGGAGGCCGGGAGAGAAAGGGGAAGGGAGCACAGATGGCGGGCTGAAGCTCAGATTGTCTCTGGTGCTGACGTGGCTGCTGACCTGGCAGCTGCTGGGCTGGCAGCATCAGCAGCAGGCGACACGTCAGCCGCATCCGACTCGTCACCAGCAGACGCAGTAGCAGCAGGGATAGTCGTTTCCGCGTTGTTCACCCGAAGGTCCCACACCATGCGGAACCGCATGGTACCGCTCACCACCATGGCGGTTACCACCCCAAGAGCCCCCGGCACTGCTGCTGCTGTGGCCACTCCGGGGCGGAAGGGGGGCAGGGGGAAGGGGAGGCGGGGGGGCCGTCCGCCTACTCCGTCTGTAGGGGCCGCGGCTGTGGTTAGTCCGGGGGGAGGGGGAGGGGGAGGCGGAGGGGGAGGGGGAGGGGGAAGGAGAAGGGGAGGGGGAGGTGGGGGAGCCAGTCCGGGAGCAGCAGGGGGAGGTAATGGAGTGGTGAGTCCAGGGGGAGGTAGATCTGATGCTGGTGCAGGGATAAGCCCAGGGGGAGGTAGATCTGATGCAGGTGCAGGGGCAAGCCCAGGGGGAGGTAGATCTGGTGCAGGTAGTTTTAAAAGACGGTCTGGTGGAGTGGTGAGCCCAGGAGGAGGCGAAACGCAGGAGGAGCTATCCTTCGAGACGAGAGATCCAGAGGTGCTGACTCAGCAGGTGCCGATTCAGCATGTGCTGAGTCAGCAGGTGCTGACTCAGCATCCACCAGAGGTGCTGTTTATCGAACCGCCTGCGCCACGGTCGCAGGTGGTCTTCATGGGGAGGGCGGCGGAACACGGGCAGGTGCTATCTGGGGGAGGCGCAACTGGAAGGGCGCAGGTGCTATCTCTAGAAGTGCCCTCCCCAAGTCCTTCGCCTGGTCCCAGCTGTGGGATGGATTGGGAGGGGATAGAGATTGGCGAGGAGGGGGAGGAGGAGATTGGGGAGGAGGAGGTAATGTTTTTGAAGGGAGGGGAGGAGGACGAGGGGGAATATCAGCAGGGATTGAGATGGGAAAGAAGAGGGTTTGATGAGGAGGGGTGGGTTGGCGAAGAGGGAGGGGATGGGGAAGGGGAGAGGGGGTGGAGGGGGGAAGGGTGGGAGGGATGGAGAGGGGAGAGGGGGATGGGCAGAGGAGAGGAAGGAGAGGAAGATGAGGGTGAAGATGAAGTGGGGGAGGAGGGAGAGGAGGAGGACGAGGCGGAGTTTTGTTCGCCTACGTGGCGCGAGTGGCATCACTCGGCGTTTATTGAGGAGGGGGGGATGATGGGGGAGACGATGGGAGAGATGATGGGGGAGACGATGGGGGGGATGATGGAGGAGAAGATGGGGGAGGTGGCGGAAGGCAGGGGGGTGGCGGAAGGCAGGGGGGTGGGGGAAGGCAGGGGGGTGGGGGAAGGCAGGGGGGTGGGGGAAGGCAGGGGGGTGGGGGAAGGCAGGGGGGTGGGGGAAGGCAGGGGGGTGGGGGAAGGCAGGGGGGTGGGGGAAGGCAGGGGGGTGGGGGAAGGCATGGAGGAGGGCGATGGAGGGGGGTCAAGGGAGGATGCGAGGGATGGTAATGGCGCAAGAGATTGCGGCGGCAGCAGCAGCGCTTGGCAGACAAGAGGGCACGAGGGCGCATATGTTGACGACGAGGCACATTTAATGTGAGTTCTTTGAGAATCCAAAAAAAAATCAGTTCCATGTGGATGCAGACCGGAGGGCAAGAGGGCAGACTGGAGGGTGCAAATGTTGACGAGGAATATCACATGTGAGTTTTTTGAGAATCCAAAAAAAATGGAAAAATCAGTTCCATGTGGATGAACGGTGGTGGTGGTTCCTGGGACATTTTAAAAGCCTCAGTGGCAGGCCAATGGGATGCATACCAGAGGGAAAGAGGGCAGATTGGAGAGCGCAGAGGCTGAATGTTTTATGTGAGTTCCATGGGATGGGGTCAAGGGAGGATGTGCATGGGCGGTGGTGGTGGTGGTGGTTATCGTGGGTGGGTGGTGGAGTCGTCATAGTTGGAGTTGAATCTGACTTTTGAGTCAACTCAAAAGTCACATAATTGGAGTCAAATCGGAGTATTCTCGGAAACGTGAAAGAAGAGTGTTTTTGAAACGCCTCAAAAACACTCTTCTTTCGTGTGTGGGTGGTGGAGTCGTCATAGTTGGAGTCAGATTTGAGTATTTTCAGAAACTAACTGATTGCAATGGGATAGGGTGGGTGAACAGAAGCAGCGACTTTCCCCATTACTCCCTCACCGCACCCAAACCCCTCACCCCTTCCCCCCCCTCTTCACCCTCCCAAACTTTCACGCAGGCGCCCTATCCGCTTGAGAAAGCAGCGGCTCCCCCCATCCCTCACCCCCTTTTTCCCTTTCCTCCCCCTGTTAACCCTCTTCACCTCTCCCTACCCCGGTCTCCTTCCCCCAACCTCTTCAAAATCATCCTCAGGCCCCTATTTGCTGGACGCTCCCCGCATCCTCCTCTCGTCCCAACCCCCTTTCCCCACTTCCCCCCCTCGCTTCCTTCCCCTACCCCCCCGAATTATCCCCTGCAGGCCCCTAACCGCTGGAAGCAGCGCCTCTCCCCGTCCTCTCCCGTCACCCCCTCGCCCCACAAACCCTGCTCTGGGCCCTAACCGCTGGAAGCACCGCCTCTCCCTTTCCCTTTCCCATTCCAGCCCTCTTTCCGCCACTCCCCCCCCCTTCTCTCGCCCTCATTCTCTCCGCTTCCCCCCAAACACCCCCCTGCAGGCCCTCAACTGCTGGAAGCAGTGCCTCCCCCCTTCCAGCTTCCGACAGGCTTCCGCCCCGCTCTCCCCTCCTCCCGCCTTTCCCCCAATCCCCCTTCCACCCCCTCCCTCAATCTTTCCTTGCATGCCCCTATCTGCTGGGAGCAACGCCTCCCCCCTTCCAGCAACCCACAGGTTTCCACCCCGCTCTCCCTCCCCCCTGACCTCCCGCCCCCTTTTTCCTCTTCTCCCCTCTTTCCCCTCTCCCCGTCCCCCCAACCCTCCCTGGCAGGCCCCTATCCGCTGGAAGCACCGCCTCCCCCCTTCCAGCTTCCCACAGGCTCCCACATCAATATACCTCCCCCCCTCCCCCCCCCCCCCCCCCCCCCCTCCCCCCCCCCCCCCTCCCTTCCAATCCCCCTCCCTCTTTCCCCCCGAAAACCCCTCTGCAGGCCCCTAACCGCTGGGAACAGCATCTCCCCCGTTCCAGCATCCCACAGGCTCCCACCCCGCTCTCCCCTCCCCCGAGCCAAGAAGCCAGGCTCGGGAGCCTCCGTACCTGTTACACCGAACCAGACCAGTGGCCCAGGCTGGGGGGTTGCCGAGCCTGAGGCCCCGAACCAAGGCAGCTCGGGTCGGAGCCCTGGTTACCCTGTTACTGGTATGAGGAGGAGCAAGAGTTCCCCCAGGATCAAGAAGAGAGAGGGAGAGGAAGGAGAGGAGGGGAGAGAGAGGGTAGTGGTAGTGGGGGAGAGAGGAGGGAGGATGGGGAGAAAGGGTGCAGGAATGCAGCTGCTTTTGCAGCAGCAGCAGCAGCAGCAGCAGCAACCCTCGCAGCAGCTGCAGTTGCAGCAGGGGCAGCAGGGGCAGCAGCAGCAAGGGCAGGAAGGGCAGGAAGGGCAGCAAGGGCAGCAGGGGCAGCAGGAGCAGCAGGGGCAGGGTGCAAGAGCAGGGAGGTCGAGGGTTGTTCAGTGCAGGTCCAGCAGCTATCATGGTGTTCCGGGTTCAGGTGGGGAGGCATCTCGGGTGGTGACTTTCAGCACTGCTGCTGCCTCTGATGGTGCTGGTGCTTCTGCCATTTCGTCTTGCACCTCATCTGCTGCTGTCCCTCCTACTCCCACCTCTGCTACCACTGCTTCTTCGTCTTCTGCTGTAGCAGCGAAACGCCAAGAGGGGAAAGCACTAAGAGGCCGTTCCAGATCACTCGTTGATGATTGCACTTCTGACCCCTTCGCCCATGCTAGTAATGCCACTGCTATTGCCGGTGCCGCCACCTCCGCCGCCGCTGCCGCGGCTGCTTCTGCTGAGAGTGCGATTCCCGTGGCAATGCGAAAGGTCGAGACACTGAGAACTCGTTCCAGGTCTCTTATGGACGAAGGGGTAGCAGAACCCGTAGCTTCTCAGACACGTTTGGAGGCACCAGCAGGAAACGCACAGCAGGAGCAGTCTGTTTGCATGAGGCGGGCCGAGACACTGAGAGGGCATTCCAGCAGGGGAATGGACCTACGGGGTAGTGCTGTTGCGGCTGCAGAGCAGCAGCAGCAGGTGGTGGAAATGAGACGAGCCGAGACGCTGAGAGGTCAGTCTAGCAAAGGATTCGACCTACGGGGTATTGCTGTTGCGACTGCAGAGCAGCAGCAGCAGGTGGTGGAAATGAGACGAGCCGAGACGCTCAGAGGAGCGTCTAAATCCTACTCTAAGGATAGTGCTGTCGAGAAGCAACAGCCAGTTGATATGCGGCGAGCAGAGACACTTAGAGGGCGGCGGGGGTCAGACTTGAGGGGTAGTGCTTTAGAGCAGCAGCAGTGGCAGCGGCAGCAGAAGCAGCAGCAGCAGCAGCAGCAGCAGCAGCAGCAGCAGCAGCAGCAGCAGCAGCAGCAGCAGCAGCAGCAGCAGCAGCAGCAGCAGCAGCAGCCAGCAGCAGCAGCAGCAGCAGCAGCAGCAGCAGCAGCAGCAGCAGCAGCAGCAGCAGCAGCAGCAGCAGCAGCAGCAGCAGCAGCAGCAGCAGCAGCAGCAGCAGCAGCAGCAGCAGCAGCAGCAGCAGCAGCAGCAGCAGCAGCAGCAGCAGCAGCAGCAGCAGCAGCAGCAGCAGCAGCAGCAGCAGCAGCAGCAGCAGCAGCAGCAGCAGCAGCAGCAGCAGCAGCAGCAGCAGCAGCAGCAGCAGCAGCAGCAGCAGCAGCAGCAGCAGCAGCAGCAGCAGCAGAAGCCAGTTGAAATGCGGCGAGCAGAGACGCTGAGAGGGAGGCCTGAAACCATGCAAGTTGATCCGACGGCTCAGATTAAAGGCGATTACCGGGACATGAGGCGATCTGAGACGCTCAGAGGGCGGGCAAGATCTGCCCAGTTGGATCCGACGGTTCAGATTCAAAGCAGGCTGGAGATGAGGCGAGCAGAGACAGTGAGAGGGAGCGTGAGATCAGACCTATTGGGTGGTGCTACGGAGCAGCAGCACCAGCCAATCGAAATGCGGCGAGCAGAGACTCTGAGAGGATGGACGGGAACCATGCATGTGGATCCGACGGTTCAGATGAAAGGCGATTATCGGGAGATGAGGCGATCAGAGACGCTCAGGGGGAGGGCGAGATCCAATTCAATGATTTTACCCTCTCAGGGCGAACCCCAGAGTTTTGAGACGTCTCAAAACTCGGAGGATTTACTCTCTCAGGGCGAACCCAAGGCGTTACCCACCCATGTGGATCCAACGGTCCAGAATGGGGGAGATTATCGGGAGATGCGCCGAGCAGAGACGCTCAGAGGGAGGGCGAGGTCCATTTCAGTGGATTTACTCTCTCAGGGCGAAATGGGGGGTTTGAGGCGGGCGGACACGCTTCATGGACGGTCCAGATCAATCCAAGCAGATCCTGCGGCTCAGAATGATTCTGTGGAGCAGGAGCAGTGCTTAATTAAGCGATGGGGAAAGAGTGTTTCCAGTCTCTCCCCTCACAGTGTGTCCCCATCTGGTTTCCCTCCTGTCCGCCTGTCTCCCCACAGTGTCTCTCCTCACAATGTGTCTCCTTACAGTGTGTCTCCTTACAGTGTGTCTCCTTACAGTGTGTCTCATTACAGTGTGTCCCCATCTTGTCTGCCGCCTCCTCACAATGTGTCTCCTTATAGCGTGTCTCCTTATAGCATGCCTCCTCACAGCGTGTCTCCTTATAGTGTCTCTCCTCACAGTGTCTCCCCGTATAACGTGTCTCCTGCGATGGTGTCTCCTTGCGGTGTGGATGTGTGTGCAACGATTCTAGAGCCAAGTCCGGGGAGAGTCGCACACACAGCAACACATAGAGAAAGGAGCAGGAGCAGGAGCAGGAGCATAAGCAGCCCTGGGGAGGAGGAGAGTGTGGGGGCGAGGCGAGGGGAGGGTGTGGACGTCCGTGCAACGTCATTAGCGCCGAGTCCGGGGAAGCAACACGCAGCAACGAGAAGAGAAAGGAGCAGGAGCATAAGCAGCTCTGGGGAGGAGGAGAGTGTGGGGATGATGAGGCGAGGGGAGAGCGGTGTTGGTTCTTCTGCTGCTGCTACTACTGCTGCTGCTGCTGATATGGGAGATGGTGCCTGGAGGAGAAGACTCAGGAGCACTTCAGGGGAGGAGAGTGAGGGGATGAGGCGGGGGAAGAGTGGTGGTAGTGGTGGCGGTGCTGCTGCTGCTGCTGCTGCTGCTGCTGCTGCGGCTGCTGATGTGGGAGATGGTACCTGGAGGAGCAGAAGCAGGAGCACTTCAGGGGAGGAGGAAAGTGAAGGCACGAGGCTAAGGGAGAGTGGGGGGATAGGCACAGGACGCAGAGCAACGCTTAGAGAAAGGAGCAGGAGCAGGAGCATAAGCATAGGCAGCTCTGGGGAGGAGGAGAGTGAAGGTGCGAGGCTAAGGGAGAGTGGGGGGATAGGCACAGGAGAGAGTGTGAGGACGAGACGAGGTGAGGGGCTGCGAGGGCAGGATGAGGCGAGGGGTGTTGCAGGGATGGGAGGATCGGGGGGTGAGAAGAGGATGGGAGGGATGGGGATGAGAGTGAGAAGCGGGTCCGAGCTGGATAGAATGGGCGAGGGGGAGGTTGTGGAGATGAGACGAGCAGAGACACTGCGAGGGGAGGGTGTGAGGAGTGGTGAGAGGAGGATGGGAGGTGAGAGTGGGAAAGGGGTTGGGAGAGGAATGGAAGGTGCGAGAGGGGTGGAGGGTGGAAAAGGGGGTGGTGCGAGAGGGGATGGGGGTATGAGAGTGAGAGCAAGGAGTGGTTCTGAACTGAGTGAGATGGGCAAGGGGGGTGCGGAGGAAAGATATGAGGAGCGAGTTGTGGGTCCGATGGTGGGTGGGGAGGAGCAGCAGCAGCATGCAGGTGTGGCGATGCGACGAGTGCAGACCATGCGGGGGGAGGGTGTGATGGGTGGTGCAAGTAGTGGGGGTGCAGCAGGTGGGGAGCAGCAGCACGATGCTGTGGTGATGCGACGAGTGGAGACCATGAGAGGGCGAGTCGAACAAGTGCAGGTAACGCGGGGGGAGCAGCAGACGACGCAACAGGGACAGCAGCAGGGGCAGCAGCAGGGGCAGCAGAAGGGGCAGAAAGGGCAGCAAGTTGCAGTGCATACCGGCCCAAGGCTGAAAGGCAGTACACCTGCTGCTGGTGCTGCTGCTGCTAGTGCTGCTGCTGGTGCTGCTGCTGGTGCTGGTGGTGCTGCTGCTGCAGGTGTTGCTGCTGCTGGTGCTGCCACTGCTGCCGAGAGAAAGGGAAGTGGGCGAAGCTATCAAATGCGGCGATCCCGAACCTCCTCTAATCAGAGGCTCGGCTCTTCGCCACCCTCCCCTGGGAAAGGAGTTTTGGTTCGGGAGTTGGGTGGTGCGGGAGAGGTGCAAGCAGGGGAGCTGACGCGAGCAGAGACAACGAGAGGGAGGATGGAGCGAGGGAAGCAGCAGGGGCTGATGCAGCAGCAGCAGCCACAGAAACAGCAGCAGCAACAGTCACAGTCACAGTCACAAACGCAGCAGCAGCAGCAGCAGCAGCAGCAGCAGCAGCAGCAGATGCAAGCGCAGTCAGACGAAAGCAGAAGCTCACCTTTCCGCACCAGCTCGGTTTTCGAGCCTCTCAAAACAGAAGCTGCCCGCAGCACTTCAGTTTTTGAGCCTCTCAAAACAGAAGCTGCCTGCAGCACTTCAGTTTTCGAGCCTCTCAAAACAGAAGCTGCCAGCAGTACGAGCACGAGGAGCAGAGGGCGGCACTGCATGCGGCGATCAAAAACCTCCTCCACGGAACGCCTCCTCTCCCGCTCCCTCTTGCCCTTAACAGACCAATCCTGCACAGAGCAACCCTCAGCAGAACAACCCTTTTTAGGGACACCCTTTGCAAGCGTAGCTAAAGGGGGTGTGGCGAGGCAAGGAGGGAGCGTGAGGGAGCGGGGGCGGAAGAAGCGGCTGAATGCGTGGGACGTGTTTGGGGATGAGGAGGATGTGATTGGGCGGGAAGGGTGCGTGGTGGTGCAATCAAGTGATGCCAGTGCTGCTAGTGCTGGTGCGCGTGTGCTCAATGCCAAGTGCTCCCCTCCTACCGGCTCCTCCCCTCCACTAGGTTTCGCTCCCAGCGTGTTTGAAAAATTAGCGCCTGCCCGGAGTTTCACATCTGCCCGGGAGGAGGAGGAGGAGGAGGTTGACTCGAGTCCACCACTCGTGCGGTCAAAGTCTGAAAAGAGGGCGGCGGGGCGGAGAGGACGGGGACGTGAGGTTTCTGAGAAATCTCAAAAGCCACCTGCATCAATCAGGGATGTCATATCTGCGTGGGAGGAGGAGAGGGTTGACTCGGGTCAACCGCTGGTGCGATCAAAATCAGATAGAAGGGGGATTGCGCGTAGCGGAGGGGGGCGGGGGCAGGATGGGCTGATTTCTGAGTCAACTCAAAACCGGGTGGGTGAGGGAAGAGGAGCGGGGCGAGATGGGGTTGTGGGGAAGGGAGACGGGGGATTGAGAGGAGACGATGCTGTGGGAGGGAGAGAGGCGGTGGAGGGGACAAGGTTGCGCCGTGCTGTGAGTGTGCAAGGGGGGTTGGGTAGCCGTATTGAGGCATGGTCACAGCAGCAGAAGCAGCAGCAAATGCAGAAGCAGAGACAGCAGCAGCAGCAACAGAGGCAGGAGGAAGAGGGGCAGCAGGAGGAAGGGCAGCAGCCGAGCAATCGGGTGAGATTACTGCTGCAGAGATCAATGAGTCGGAGGGAACGCGCAGCAGCGAAAGCCGCAGCACTAGAAGTGTTGTCAGCTGCTGCAGGAAGAGCCGCAGCAGAGGGAGAGAGAGAAACAGATGCAGCCCCGACTGCAGATATGTTTGCTAAGAACACCGTTGAGGGGAGGGAGCAGATGCAGCAGGGGGAGAGGCACAAGCAGCCTCATAGACAGGCCTCTATGCCTGCTCGCACGCCCAGAGGGACTAGTCTGATGGAGAGAGAGTGGGCGAAAGGGGAGATTGGCTCAACTCAACCCGTCAAGCCCAGGAGAAGTGAGGATGGAGGGAAAGGGAGGAGGAAAGGGACGGGTGAAGCAGTCACACGAGGTGGAATAGAGGAGGGGAGAGGGAGGGGAGTGGAAGGGGGAAGGGGGCAGGGGTCGCAGAGAGCAGCAGACGAGAAGCGGAGGCAGGGAGGGGGAGAGGAGGAGGGAGGGGAGAAGCAGCAGAGGGTGAGAGAGAAGGAGGCACTGAGGGAGATGGAGAGGGAGATTAGGGTTATGCGGGAGAGAAGGGCGAGGGAGCGTGCTGCTGCGAGAAAAGCTGCCGAGAGCAAGACAGGTGTTGAGGGGGGGAGTGGGGGAGGTGTGGAGGGTGGGGGAAGGGAGAAGGAAGATGGAAAGGGTAGGGAGGTTGGAGGGGGGAGTGAGTGTGGAGGAGAGCAACGAGGGTTAGAGAGGAGGAGCAAGAGTGTAGGAGAGGGTAGGCTGAGAGCAAGAGGGGTGGTATGTGAGGGAATAGAGGAGGCGGATTTAGAAGAGGAGGAGGATGTACCTAGCTACCCCCCTTTGAGTCGCAGCCGCACTCAACCCAATCGCTTGCCTTCTAACCCATGCACACCGCGTTACACCCACCTCCCTCCCTTCTCACCACATCCCTCCCTTGCCCCCTTGTCCCTTGCCGAACCTGGCCCCGAACCTGTTTTCCAAACTGCTTACCACTTCGACCTGGTCCAACCGCTCTCTCCAGACCCACAGGTCTGGGAGGAGCCCGAGGCTGAAACCGAACCTGAGAACGACCCCCGAGCCAAGCGCCGAGGCTTCCGAGATAGGCTGTTCGGCCGAAGCTCGAGCGGAGGTCGGGACAAACTCGCAGAGGCGGACAGGGAAGTGAGGGTGCTGAAGGCTCATGCTGGGAGGAAGGGGACTCATGGAGGGAGTGTGGGGGGTTTGGAAAGCCGAAACAGCCTGTTTGGGCGAGAAGGGTCGTATGGGCAAGACGGGGCGTATGGGCAAGACGGCTTGTTTGGACGGGATGGGTCGTATGGGAGGGAGGGTGCATTGGGCCTGGATGGCAGTGGTGGGAGAATGAGCAGAGACGGGTCTCTGAACGAGCATGCTGCCGTGATGAGCCGAGATGCTTTGTTCGCTCGGGACGGGCAAGGCGAGAACGCTTCTGGTGGGGTTGGTGGTGCTGACATGCAGGTTGAGTGCGGTACTGAGGGTAGCAGTGCGGTTCCTTTCTTGCCACAGGTGAAGCACCAAGCAGAGGCATACACAGAGAGTGGCGGCAGTGGCACCAGCAGCGGCGGCGGCCACAAAGGGGGTCGCTTTTCCCTGAGAAGACACCTGCAGCGGCTCAAAAGCGGCGAGGCTAAGGCTCCGGTTAACTCTCCATTACCCCGGGTAGTTGACTCGCTGTTTGATTTTGCCCCTGACGAGGCTGCAGGTGTTTCCTCCCCTACGCTCTCCTCCTCCCCTTCCCTCTCCTCTTCCTGGGCTGGTATGTTCTCCCGAACCCAGACTGGGAGCCGCCTGTCAGGTTCGGTAAGCAGCTGGGTCCGAAGCAGCTGGGGAGGCTCGGGAAGGGGGAGTAGGGATGGGGATGGGTTGAGCGAAGTTGCCTCCGCTGCTGTTGCCACTGCTGCTAGTAGTGGTGGTGGTTGCGCTTCTGCTTTTGACAGTAATGGGTACGGCGACATTGGTGTTGTGCCTATGCGGAGGAGCAAAACGGATGGGAGGAGGGACTATATCGAGAAAGGAGTGATCCCTGTCAGCATGAGCGAGAGCATGAGTTTTGCAGAGAACGAGCTCGTGAATGTGATGCGACGGGGGGGTGTGAAAGGGATGATGGAAGGGATGGATAGGATGGGGGGGGTGGAGGCAGGAGAGGAAGATGTGGATGTGGAAGGGGTATATGAAGCAGCACGGTTTGTCCCTCTCAAGGTGCCCAAGTCCCCTTCCTGGGCCAGTGAGATGGACATGTGGGCAACGGGGGGGCGATAGGAGTCAGGCAACACAAAGAAAGGAGGGGGAATGGGGTGCAGATACGGAAGGGGCATACGAGACAACGACGTTTGCGCCTCTCAAGGTGCCCAAGACCCCTTCCTGGGCTAGTGGAATGGGCATGTGGGCAACGGGGGGCGATAGTCAGGAAAAGAGAGACGGGCGAGGGAGAAGGTGCGGATGTGGATAGGGTGGGCATATGAAGCAACAGAGGTTACTCCTCTCAAGGTGCCCAAGTCCTCTTCCTGGGCTAGTGGGATGGGCATGTGGGCAACAGGGGGCCGATAGGAGTCTGGCAAAACAGAGGGGGAAGGGGAGGGTGAAGGGGAGTGGATGTGGAACGTGCATACGAAGCAGCGCTGTTTGTGGCTCTCAAAGTTTTCTTCCTGGGCCAGTGAATTGGGCAAGTCTAAATTGCTCTTCACAACTCAACTCTAGGATGTTGTGGATGTAACAAACAAGCCTACGGTAACCTCCTTCCCTTCGCAATGCTGGAAAGGCTTTCAGAATCTGCAGCCAGTTATTTTTTTATTATTATTTATATATTTTTTGCACCTTTCTGTGAGTGTAAAAGGTGCGTGTAGCGTGTATTTACGATCAGTGCATAACCTAGAGAATCTGGCAGGTTTCCATGGCATCTATTGGTAAAAACAGGGAAATACCATAGCATACTTTCAAAACACTAGAAACAAACCAGCGTTATGATATATGAAATTACAGCCTACATGCGAAACTGCGAAATCTTGGGTGAGTGAGTGCGATACGGTTAAAGGGCGTGAAATTTTAAATACAGCCCAAGTTTTAAATACAGCCAAAGTCTTTCCTTCGGACAGGAACACACTCACCCCCGACGGACGGAGGACAGACAGACTCAGACTCAGCACAAGACTAGCAGTGTAGTTTAGACGACAGCCAGCAGCAAAGTCAACCAGGTCAGCGACCAAGGCAGACGCAGCAGCAGACTCAAACGACGGGTCAGTGACAACAGTGGCTAACAGACGTGTGACAGTAGGGTGGGCAGCACGAAACTGGTCAGACTCAGGGTCCGCAACGTCAGGCAAAGAAGACGCAGGAGGAGACGGCAGGGGAACACACTGTGGAGCAGAGGAAGGACGAAGTGCCATAATGTGCGTGCCAGGGACAGGAGGCGGACGCTCACGAGGAACACAACCAGTGCGACCAGTGCGAACAGGCGAGGGAGGACGGGACGCAGGCTCGCGACGCTCAGTAAGACCTCCTGTCTGCTCAGTGTAAGGAGAGGGAGCAGGCAGGGGGGAGCCAGGCTGTAACGGGAGGCCAGTAGACGACGGGAGGCTAAGAACCTGGCAAAGCACAGTGTTAGGTGGCGGCAGAGACGACGGTGACGGCGGAGAGAAGAACAGCCGCTGCGAAGCAGTGCCACGAGCATCAGTAGCTCCAACGCCTCCAGCAGCTCCAGAACCTCCAGCGTCAGCACCTCCAATGCCAGCGCCACCAGCAGCAATACCACCAGCTCCAGCGTCCTCAGGCCCAGCGGCTCCAGCGTCGTTTGCTCCTCTCGCACCAGCCCCAGTACCCTCTGAACCAGCACCCCCAGCTCCAGAGACGTCAGCAGAAGCGCCTCCAACGGCAAAGCCCCGAGCTCCAGTAGCGCGACCCTGACGGCGAGCGTACCATTCGGGCAGCTGCTGTGGGGAGAGAGGCTCACGCGGACGAAGGCAGCCACTCCAAGGAGACCACGCACCAGCAGTCTCAGTACCCTCAGGCGCCGCACCCCCAGACTCAGCACCCCCAGGCTCCTCACGCTCAGGCTCAGCACCCCCAGACGCAGCAACCCCAGACGCAGTACCTCCAGTCTCCTCACGCTCAGGCACAGCACCTCCAAGCTCAGCACCCCCAGTCTCAGCACCCCCAGGCCCAGCACCCCGAGCAGGACCACCCCCAGTAGGACCTGAGTCACAAGTGACCTCAACAGGCTCAGGCAAGGGAGGGTCTACCTGAGACACACCTGAAGGAGAAGGACCTGGCGCAGGGAGGGGGTCTACCTGGGGAGGACTTGGAACGAGAAAGAGCGGCGGGGGGGGGGGGCGAGGGGCAGTGCAGTAGGGAAAGAGACGGTAAAAGGGGACTGACTCGTCAAAGGTGACGTCCTGAGACGCAGAGACACAACGTGAGGCGGGGTCGTAAAACTGCCAGCCAGGTGCGTCAAGAGGAAAACCAAGGAAGACGCAGGGAATGGCGCAAGCAAAGAGCTTGTCCACAGTGGTATCGCAGACAAAGGCACGAGCACCCCAGACCCGGAATCGCGACGCATCGCCAACCTCCCCCGTCCACAGCAGTGTGGGCGAGGTCATCGGCAAGGAGACACGGGGCCAGAGGTTGAGCTGATGCGCGGTGTACCGGACCGCAAACAGCCACAGAAAATGGGGGGCAGCCGCATGGACCATGGAGGTACGAGCGACCTCCATGACTAAGCCAATGCGGCGCTCAGCAGCCCCATTCTGCTGCGGAGAGGCCGGAAGCGTGAACGTCTGGCGGATGCCGTTCTCCTCACAAAAAGCCCGCAAGAGGTCGGAGGTGAACTCACCACATCTGTCAGAGTGCAGAGGCAGGACAGGAAAGTCCGACTCGAACCGCTCGCGGAGCTGGAGACGAACAGCGTGGATCCAAGGGATCAGAACAGCAGGGACATGCCCCTTGCGCTACAAGGGGAAGACCGTGGTGTAACGCGTATAGTCGTCGACAACCAGCAGGAAGTACCGCTCGCGGCCCTGCCCCTGGACGCGGGCTGGGCCCCACACGTCCAGGTGGAGAGTCTAAAGCGGAGCCTCTGTGGGAGGGAACGAAGAATGAGGAGCGGCGCGCTGCCGCCCCTTGACGCAAGGAGCATAGGGCGGCGCAGGCGAGGGAGGGAGGGCAGGCAGAGACCTGGGAAGACCAGAGACCAGGGAGCGAGAGTGCATGCCACGAAGGCGGGGCAGAGAGGGGTGACCAAGGCGGTGGTGCCAAAGGAGAAGCTGGTGCGACAGGCGGCGACACTCACACTGGGTGGCTACCTGAGCGGACGCATACAGCTGAGGAGACAAAGGGACGTAGCGCGACACTGTGGTGAGGGTGTACAGATTGGACCCAGGCTCACGTGTAAACGTGGCCAGGTGGCGGCCATTCTTAGAGCAGGTGCAGATCGCCACACGCTGTCCTCCAGGAGTAAAGGTGTCAACCCAATGATCCTGAAGGACGGCGTTGCTCACCAGGTTTGTAGAGAACGAGGGGATGTGGAGACCTGACAGCTCATCGGACGGGACCGCCGGGCATGGAAGCACAGTAGTGGACCGTGCAAGCACTGGGCCCCCAGAGGGGTCAGCCAGTGAGACAGGGACAAGGGTAGGGAGGGGAGTGACTGTGGTGCTGTCGCGAAAGAAACATCGGGAAGCACCAGAGTCAATTGTAAAGGTGTGCAAGGCCTGAGCTGACGCAGTACCAGGGAGAGCAGACTCACTAGCACCTAGGGCTGCAGCCTCCATACCTGGATCAGGCAGCATACACAAGTAGCACTCACCCTCAGCACTAACAGTCAATGCATACATGGCAGCAAGAATTGCATCATAGTCAAGATCAAAGATAGGAACATCACGCTTAAGCAGGTCTGCCCAGTAGGGGAACTCAGTAGCGTCAGGAAACTTGGCGCGCCAGGCGTCGCTAAGCCGAGCGAAGCAGCAGTACTCAGTGTGAAAGCCGTTGCATGGGCTATCGGCGCGGGGACCTGCGCGAATGATATAGGGGCAGCGACCAGGACCCCCAGACGCCCCACGCCCGGCATACCAGTCATGAGGCTGCTGAGAAGTGGGGGTCTGGCGCTGACGCTGCTGCTGCTGCTGCTGCTGTGGCTGCTGCTGGTGCTGCCCCTAGCCACCACTGGAGCCCCCCTTTTGGCCGGCTCCACTCCCGTCCCCACCAACACCTCCACCACTACTCCCTCCTCCCCCACTACCACCGCTGCCACCTCCACCACTCCCAGTACCACTGCCGCCCCACCCACTACCTCCACCCCCACGACCACCCCCACCACCTCCGCCTCCACCACCGCCTCCTCCATCGCCTCCTCCACCGCCACCTCCACCACCCCTGCCTCCCTTGCCGCCCCTGGTGTTGCGGCGTTTCGCACTAGGAGTGGAAGCAGCTGCGACCTGCTCAGTAGAGGCGTAGGAGGGGGCAAGAGGGGAGGGGGAGCAACCCTCAAAGAGGGGAGCACGTGGAGTGCCATGAGCAGTGCCTACAGCTAGAATGCTCTTTTCTGCTGCTAGGAGCTCCTGCTTGAAGTCGTCGACAGTAAGAGTGGTAGGGGCAGCAGCGAGCCACGCGCAGGCTGCGGAGGCGCGGCGCGAGCAGGTAGGGCGGCGCGCGGGGCTGCAACGGGCCGCGCGCGGGCTGCCAAGGCGCGAGCAGCGCAGGCGGTGCGCGGGGCAGCAACGGGCCGCGCGCGGGCTGTCGAGGCTCGGCGCAAGCTGCGCAAGCGGTGCGCGGGGCAGCAGCAGGCCACGCGCGACCTGCTGAGGCGCGGCGCAAGCAGCTAGGGCGGCGCGCGGCGCAAGCAGCTAGGGCGGCGCGCGGGGCAGCAGCGAGCCGCGCGCGGGCTGCCGAGGCGCGGCGCGAGCAGCGAGGGCGACACGCGGGGCAACAGCGAGTAGCGCGCGGGGATTAGGTCTGCGCGTGAAGCAGTCGCAGACAGCTCAGACAGAAGACACACGGTGCGCGCAGCGCAGCACGTCACAGTCACAGTCGTGGGGTAGCGGTAGGCGGGGGCCCGAAAAAAAAGACGGTCCTACGGACCTACTGCCCTGAAACCATTTCTGAAAAACTAGGCAGGAATGAATGAACTATAAGGAAGTTGGGTACAAATAGAAACCCAAACATTGGGCTGTACCCCATATGGGCTACCCCACTACAGCCTACAGCCTATACTATAGCATACATATATATATATTTTGACAGCATTCGCCCTTGTGAAGTCGGAGCTACAG